ATAATATTTTTTTACAATATGTCGGGGGCTGCATATAAATCCCTAATTTCAATACATTCTTTCAAAGGACATAAAAATAAACAATATAAATAAACATTCTTTGAAGAAATATAAATTAGTGATATTGAAATGCAAAGAAAAATTGCAATATAAATCATGTATGACCATCGACACTTAAATAATTTGCATAGATACCATGCTTCAATGAAATGATAATTTGAGCATTGAGTGTAATGTAATCTACACGACACATACAACGCAATAACCCTCACGTCACACCCTGTTTAAAGTGTGGATAAAACTCAATAACCCTCACGTTCTGGCTCCCTTATACTCAACAAAATAGATATTATTTATCTAAATTTGTCAAAAACTGAAGAATATGTTCAATAAAAAATAATAGACTCACAAGAGAGATAATCGAAGATTCTTTATATAAAGATATTCAATTTTTTAATATTTTCTAAATATTACTTTTTAAAATTTTGAAATTGTTAATAATGTTTTTAGTCTTTTTTATTTCTTAATAATTTATTACTTATTATTTTTTATATTTTATATCTAAATAATATTGGGTATAATTGATAATGTCATGTGATTTATAACGTGTGAGTTAGAAATTATATATTTGGAGTGTTATAGTGCTTTTTAGAGATTTCGTGTCATGTAGAGACGAGCGTCTCAATAAACTAGGTTGCCATGAGCTAAAATGATTAAGCATAAGTTAAATAATGATTATTATAACCAATAGAGGTTGATTCAAGTGGTAATTAGTTTGATATCGCTTAAGTAAGGTTTCCAGTTTTAGTCTTTTTGTATGTAGAAAATTTCTTTTGAGAGACTCACCCATCAAAACTAAGTGTGCGACTCGAATCGATCTAGATTAGTCATGACGCAACTTTAGAACTGGAGAGCAACAAAAAGAAATAATGATTATTATATCTTAAAGGTACTTATTTTAGATTAAAGCCAAAAAAAAATTTTGGGATGAAATGAAAAATTAATAAAATATTAAGGATTAATTTTGATATTGCATCTAGAGTAATGGTGAGTTTTAAAAAAAAGAACTAAAAAAAATTCACTTATCAATTTTTAATTGATCCAAAGGTTTCAAACTGATGAATACACATAATTTTCTTGTACTCACAATTAAGTGACAAATCCAAAAATTTTAAAATGAGACTCCAAAAATTTTAGTTATATATGGCTATGTAGATTTTATTATTATTTTTCTCATTCCTTTAATATATTGAGTTATATTTAATAACTTATCCAATATAATGAGTATGCATTTATCGTCATTGACATAGTTGCTCAAACCTAAAATTATTAAGGAGAATATTATTCTCTTTTAGCACGGAAACTTCTTGATGATATCTACCTTAAAATTTTATTTGTGCTCACTTTATATAAAAAATTATATAATTAACACATATATGTGTCCACCTTTAATTTTTTTTAAATATATGATTAAATTTATTATGTAATAAATTTCAAAATGTTCAGTTTTAAGATATAATAATCATTATTACATAAATAAAAAATTAAATGATTAGATTCCAAATAATCTTGACTAGGCCAGTAAATGAACTGAACATTCAGCGAACCGTTCATGAACCGTGCGGCGAGAAGTTTGTTTATGTGCATTTATTTATTAAATGAATGAACATGAACAAGATTTTGTATTCGTTTAATTAAATGAACGAACATGAACATAGGTCTCGTTCGTTCATTTACGTTCGTGAACGTTCGGTTATGTTCGTTTATATTCGTTCGGTTATGTTCGTTCATTTATGTTTAACTCAATCTTCTTAAATCAATTTTGGTGACCAATTTGTAAGTATCTTAAAAAATATTAATTAATCTGATATTCTGATGACCAACTCCATAATTAACCCAATTTTATTTGGAGATTAAATCCAATATGTTAACCCGTGAGGCACCTCGCACCTATATTCATTTTCCCCCTTTTTTCCCAAACCCTAGTGTTCACTGGAGAGTGGAGATGATCGGTGAAAGCTTCAAAACAAGTTATATTATAGTGCAATCTGAAGTTTTACAGTTATGTTTTCATCTCTTTCTCTGTTTTATTTGGCTTAATAGTTGATATGTAAAGTTATTGTGGGTATCTTCACATCTAAAACTCAATAAAACATCATACTTCTTTTTAGAAATAGATGGGAAGATAAAGGTAACAATCAGAAGTATATGAGTATCAATAAAGAGAAAAATATAAAAAATTTGCCAAAAGAAAACAAAACAAATGTTTCTATGCAATTTCTGAAAAAGAGTGTAATAGCAGAAGTAACGAGTTTTCCAGGAAGAACCCATTAATAAGTAGAAAATACACTTTGACAATGAACTTTTGTTTTCATAGTTCTTGTGTGACCTTTAGGTGTGGAATAGACTTTAGGTATGTTAAAATTTTGAATGGTGATTTAGCATTAATATCAGTTAGATATGTAGCATCGGAAGGATTTCAGATCTATGTTATTGCCTTGTAGTCCAATTTGTACCGTTCGAAATCTTCATGCTGTTAAATTTTCTACTCTACCAATGAAAATGATCATTATTAACAAATCTCAATAAAGTCTGACATTGATGTCACAAAACTTTTAGCCGACGAATTTATTAGAATAACGTAGTGGAAAAAGATTGTTCATATGTAATCATGGACCACTAAGATAAATGTTATAGCGTTAAATTAAAGTCGTGTGAATTATTTAATATCTTTAAAATATCGATAGAAATATCTGATATCTTCAAACATTTCATCACTGCTAATCAGCTCTTACGCTATTTATCACTGTAGATTTGGTTGATTTGTATTGTCGACTATTTTTCATGAAAGAACAATGGAAGGTAGGGTCTCCAACGTTATGTTCGTTTATGTTTGTGTTCATTTATGTTCGTGTTCGTGTTCGTTTATGTTCGTGTTCGTTTATGTTCGTTTATTTATTAAATGAACGAACACGAACAAGCTATATTCCTTCATGAACGAACATGAACAAAAAAAATTTTGTTCGTTTATGTTCGTGTTCGTTTATGTTCGTTTATTTATTAAATGAACGAACATGAACATACATCCGTTCGTGTATGGTCGGTTCGTTTACAGGCCTAATCTTGACTATTACATTTTTTGTGAATTAATATTTGATATATTTATGCTGCTAATTAACTAAATAATTATATATCATAAAATATAAACTCATCAAAAAGATATTATTAAAATAGATTAAGACCAAATAATTTTTTAAAATAGATTCAAGATAAATAAAAAAATGTAAAAAATTTAAATCGACTACTTTCAGAACTTTGACCTCTCCTATGGAGGAGCTAAGAACCCAAGGATACATCAAGGAGTGGAACAAGAAGTTATCTTCGAAAATTTTAAAATTATTATATATTTTAAATTTTTTTATGTATTTTTTATTAAAAACTCATTTACATTGACTCTCTAAAATTTTATAAGTTTTACTCTTCTTAAAATTTTAAAATTTAATATTCTTTAACATAAAATCATGTATCCATCCTTATAAAGACTCATCGATATTTTGTAATTTATTACGAAGTTAGGAACGAGATACAAAAGGTATAAAGCATTTGATAATTTTAATTTAATCTTTAAATTTCTTTTTTTTTTATTAATCTTTAAATTTAAAATTTAACATATTTTTAGTCTTAATAATATGACATTCATGATACATTGCCACAAATGTTATATTATTAAGAGGACAAAAAACAGATAAAAAATACAAGTTAAAAGATCTTAATGTTTAAAGAAAATTGTTTTACTTTTGACATCACAAATTCGAATAATTACGTTTATTGTGTACAGATATAATTGTCAATAATGAAGAATCAAACAATTTCAACTCACCTCTGTTACGCCTTCGCCTCCCGGCCACTCAGCTCTCAGATTTCTCAGCCAAGCGGAAGAAAAACCCAACCATTCCAATTTCCAAATAGAAAGAAAGGAACTTGAGAGAATTGCAGTCATTCACCTCGTAAAGAAGGCGAAGGAAAATAGCTTTGTGAGTTTCTGTTTTGGAGTTTGGTCCCTTTAAAGCACAACAATTAATGCTGGGTTTTAAAAAAGTCTTCTATTTCGCTCAGAATGTTTCATTGCCGTTGGTTTACAATTTAAAACAATGGGTAGTACATATATATAGGAGGATATCTAACTATATTTAAATAATTGTTTTAGTTATTATACTTTTAAAAGTTACAAAATTACCAATGCATTTATCGAACATTATCATTGGTTTTTTTATCGAATTATTACAAAAGGATCATTTAATTTTATCAAATTATAAAAAATGATCGTTAAATTTATCAAATATTTAAACTTGTTATAATGTCACAATGATTATTTTATAACATTTTGATATATTTAAAAATTATTTTGTAATTTTCAAAAGTTCAATTGCTAAAAATAATTACTCATAGTTTATAGAGATAAAATGTAGTTTAGCTAGAAAAACTTCCAATAAGTTACTAGTAGTCGAACGACGATTGACATGGATGAAGGATGATGATCGGAGTTTGGTTGCGGGATGATGACAAACTCCGGGATGACGATGATGCACACCACGAACGGTTGATGAAGGGGGGTCGACGGATGATGGTGGGGAAATGTCAAAGGTTTGATTTTTTTTTTTACATTTTTTCTTTTCTAAAAAAACAATATTTTTGTTATTAATAATAAAAAATATAACGATAAACATCTAAAAATATAAAAAAAAACATTAAATACTTATTTTTAACAAAAAAAAAATTAACCAAAAATTAAGTTAGAGTATAGTTTAGACACATCAAAATGTTTTAACCCATTTATTAATGGTTGAATTTCGTTGTTTCTGGATCGAGCAGTAGGGAGAAATTTGACTAATATTTATCCCCTAAGTCCATGCCTAGCGTACGACGTCGTTTGACGGGGTTCTCTTTTTCTCCTATCTTGCCTCAGGTTGTGTCTTGCCTCTCCACTCCTCTTCGATAGAAAAAGAAAACTTTCGATTTTCACTGAAAATCACACTGAGGCGGAGATGGGATCAGGGAGAAACGATTCGGGCGGGTCAGGCAACCCAGGTCCAAGTGGGGAGTCGGATCACTCAGCCACGGTCGAGCCGCGGCGGTTCCCACTTGCAGCTCAACCAGAGATAATGAGAGCGGCGGAGAAAGACGACCAATACGCTTCCTTCGTCTACGACGCCTGCCGCGACGCGTTCCGCCACCTTTTTGGTATCCCATTCTTCAATATTTTCCCCTCTATTTCCTCCAGCAGTATCATTACACCTTGTGAAATATAAAGAACTGTAAATTTTTTTTATAGGTACCAGAGTTGCAGTAGCTTATCAGAACGAGGTTAGTTCTAAATTTCAATCCCTAATAACTCACTAAAAATCATTTTATTTTTTAAAAATTCTAACATTTTTGTATTTAAATTAATGTATTACGCAGACCAAACTCCTAGGTCAAATGCTTTACTATGTTTTAACAACAGGTTCCGGGCAGCAAACACTAGGAGAAGAATACTGTGACATCACTCAGGTTTTATGGTTTTGGAAACGAAATATATTATGTTTTTCCTCAAAATATGCAGCTGAATTTGTTCTTTGATTGCTAATATGGTGTTCTTTTAGGTCGCTGGAGCTCATGGCCTTTCCCCAACACCTGCTAGACGTGCTCTCTTCATTGTGTATCAGACTGCGGTTCCTTACATCGCGGAAAGAATCAGGTTCAAATTGAAGTTTTGTCTTTCCTTTTTGTGTTCGGTTCTTGTTGATAACAGGACGTGTACTCTGTTTATCGGAATCAAAGATATCTCTGAATTTTCCTTGTGCAGCTCCAGGATAGCGTCTCGTGGTATAACCCTTGCTGACTTGCAGTCTGATGAGTTCTATAGTAACATTGGCTCTGAGAGGAGTCAAGTTGAGTCGTCCACGGGGATTGAGATTGCCTTACCCTCAGACTCTACTGCACCGGTTTCTGGACTGTCTAGATTGAAAGAAAAATTGCATGGAATGTGGTTGCACGCAGTTCAGAGATGGCCAGCAGTATGCAAACCGAGTTTTTTTTGGGACTAAATTCTTCTAGGGTTTTTCATTTTTCATTGTTGTTGTGGTACTTTGGAGTGATGTATTTCAGTGCTGTTGCATACAGATGCTACCTATAGCTCGTGAATTCTTGCAATGGGCTCTTCGTGCAAACCTTATGTTCTTCTACTTCGAAGGTATTTAGAGCTTTCTCATCTAGAGTTATTAATAATTTTTTTAAGTGGAACTTTACTCATCTTAATATTGCTAATTTTCCCTTGACAAAACTTGGCAGGTCTCTATTATCATATATCCAAACGTGCGTCTGGCATTCGCTACGTGTTCATTGGGAAGCCATCAAATCAAAGACCCAGGTACATGGTTCGCTACTTGCTTCTACAAATCTTGTTTTGTTTGATGCGGCATCTCTTATTAAATGTGTGAAACTCATCATGTGGGGAGATTTGGATTGTACTGACGGTAACATTTTTGTTGCCTCTAACTGCAGGTACCAAATCCTGGGGATTTTCCTCTTAATTCAGCTATGCATCGTTGCTGCCGAAGGTCTGCGACGCAGCAACTTATCTTCAATTACAAGCTCAATTCATCAGACCTCATTGGGGTCCCATCAAAACCCATCAGGTTAATCCGTGACAAGTTTCCTTATATTGCTTACTTAAACTTGCACCTTTCGAAATGAAAACCTTATTTATGCCCAATTACCAATTGTCAAATCCTTGATGGTTAACCTGTAACATAACCTTGCTTGCCTATAAAAGATTGTTGCTAGAATGAACGTCAACTTAATCGTACAAAACGTCCATCCAATCATCTGAAATGAAGGGTCTAGTCTGTCTTAGTACTTAGTGAAGCTCTCCAGATAGCTGATAGTAAACATACTCTGTTCGCTAGGAAATATGTTTCAAGTAATTTCTTTTTCCTCATTTCATACAGTTGTGCCTTGAGAGATTGGCATGTATTGTTTGACACATTGTTGTTTGAGCCTGTAGGACAAGGTTTGCCTGTTTTAAACGAAGAAGGCAACTTGATACCAATGGAGGCTGACCGGGGTACATGGGTCGGTGAATCAACTTCAGAGGTAAATTTTCAAATATTACTTAGTATTATGTTTATGTATTTTGTTTTCATCGTCTTCCACTACTTTTATTTTCTTATCTCAGTATTCATTGTCGGAAAGTGCTAGGTAACAGATCTTAAGTGCTAGGTGTTTGTGTTTCTATTCAATGGCAGATACAATTGATCAAATGCTTCAAACCATTATGGAGCATTAGTCTCATCATAAAAGGATTGTATCATTGATAAACACATTCTCTTCACCTTTCTGCTTATATTAACTAAGCTCCTGCTTGTGCAAATTCAGTCAACAGCTGTTGTTAGCAAGTGCACCTTATGCCTAAGCAATCGACAACACCCGACAGCTACACCATGCGGTCATGTATTCTGCTGGTATCTTTCCTTTTTTGCCCCTTTTGCCGAACTAATCTTGACATGGCTTCTAATTTTTGGGGGAAACTGCAAAAATTCATTCATATATCATGACCTGTCTGTAGGAACTGCATCATGGAATGGTGCAACGAAAAGCTCGAATGCCCGCTATGCCGTACGCCCATAACTCATTCAAGTCTAGTTTGTTTATATCATTCGGATTTCTAGCTTTTGATTACGACTGCTGCTAAAGTGAACACCTTGGAAGTGAGCATATTCATAACAACTCACGTATCCTCCTGCATTTTGCTGGTGAAAATGTATACAAAAGAAAAGGATTAGTGTGTGCGATTGGGATATCTGCGTAGGTACACCATACGTGCCATTTCCCTTGGCAAAGTTGTACTTTTATCTTGTTTCGATTTTTTATTTTTTAAATACTCTGTTCCAGTATTCATATTCGATATGTATTCGGATATGGATATGAGGCTGTAACCTTTCAAGGATACATACACATGGTAATACTGAGGAAATGTTCATATTTTTCATTTACTACCTATAAATATTGTGTTTTCGAGTTAAAGGGTTAAACTGTGACTGAATGGGTAAAAAGTAAAATTTGTAACGAACTTTTTAGAAAGTACTGTTAAATCTGTAATATAGTGGCTAACGGTAGAATCTCATCTAACAATTTTATGGGTAGTGTTTGGATTAGAACAGAAATTTAAAATGTTAATATAATAAAAATGATCAAATCTGGATATAGGAGTTAAATTTGTGTAGTATAAGAACGAATTTAAGTTAAAAAACATGTTTAGTCCATTTAATGTGACAATGTATTTTTGGTTTTAATCATTGATATTCAATTTATTATTTTATCAACCTCTACATGTCTACCGGCTTGTAAAGATCGCCTGCCCTGAATCTTTATCACAAGCAACCACTAAGAACAATCGAAAGCGTTGTCGGATAGACGAATTCCATAGAACAATTACTAGGAGGAAATTGCTCTAGTATCGAATAATAATCTCTGCTATTATCATGTCCTAATCATGTTCAGTCGTTGCCAGAACTTTTCCAAACTATCACAGTGCAGACTTTAAGCATTACATATCCAGTTAAAAGGCTTAAAACCACACACACACACACACAGAACCATACATGAAAGCTATATTTGTTAACCCGCGAACGAGCTATCAACTTACAGGTCCTAGCTACAAGGGTTGAGTGACCCCCAAGACACGTAACTGGCTCCGGGATCTCGAGCAGGTGAACAAGTTGCGACATATATCTGCTATTTGAGAGAAACACAAAACAGAAACCTTTACATTTGATCGAGGAAAGAGAAAAATCTTGCAACTATACCTGATTATCCATAAAACTGCATATGTAACGGCAAGAAGAACACTAGTAGATGAACAACCATCCGATAGAGACAAAAACAGTATGAACCACTATTCGACATAGAAAAATAACGTTCAGCTCACTAGATCTCCAAACAAGTACATTCCCCTTCAGGTTGATGTTCAAGCAAAAAAGAAGAAATCCCGAGACAGAGAGCGAAAGCAGGGGGAAAAAATAAGCATCTTGTTCTCTGCGACAACTCCCAATGCAATGGTCCAGTTGTCATGTTAAATGCTCCAGGATAGATTACCAAGTGAGCACCTAATTCTAAAAGCGGAACACAGTTCGAAATTCATGAACAAGATCGGCAATATGACTACTTCCGTAACTTTCGGCTTTTAAAAAAATGATAAACACATGAGCAAAATCATTTGAAGAGACGAAAACAACAGAAAAAGTTATGGATACTAAATATTATAACATGTTCATGAGCAGAAAGTCGAAGGAAACACCGAAACCGTGTCCACAACAGTAGGAGTCTCCTGCAGTAAGCGTCTTCAATTTCATAAGGTAATATTCCTAGGAATATCGATGTCGAAAAGGTAAATAGGTAGTTCCATAGGAATGCAAATAAGTATTAAGCACTACATCTTTTAATAGTCTTCAAAATTCAAAATGATATCACTAAAACAATAAAACTGTCTATGTAATACCCCAAATTTTGGTTAGTGACTAAATTGAATTTTTTTAGAAATTCGGCTTTAATGAATTAAACTGGGAGAAATTTACAAAATTTTCCTATGAGTTATTAGAATTGATGTTAGAAAGATTATTACCTGATTTGAAAGTTTGATTGGACCAATTTGGAACTTGGTGGATTCGTAGGGAACATTTCCTATATTTTAGAAATTATGAGGAAACAAGAGTAATTGTTTAATCGTTGAAGGTCTATGCTAAAAGTTAAGTATTAAATGTTGATTTTAGATTGGGATCAAAAATTTAAGTCGCAAGCCATGTTTTAGGTTGCTACTCAAAATTCTAAGTTGCAAGCTATATTTTAGGTTGCAAGCAAGGTTGTAGGTTGCAAACTAGATTCTTTTTAAATTACAAGCAAGAATCAGAGAACCGTGATATCATCGAGAAAGGAGAATAATGAAGGACTTGAACTGTGTTTTTTGGAATATTAAAGTTAATAGTTACGATTAGTATCGAATAATTATTAAATAAAATTCTAGGATTTAAGTTACTACATTTTGCTTATGTTAGTAGGCTACTAACCTATGCTTTAAATTGTATGTATTGCAAATCTGATTTTCGTTTATATATACAACAAAAGCGTGATCAAGATGAATCAAAGACTAAAGCAAAACTGGTCGAGTAAGGAATAATGAAGTAAGGGTCGATTAGTGAGGCATATAAGGAGAGTGCATTCTTACCTATTTATTTATATTGTTATGATTCGAGAAAGACTTGTGATAAGTCGACCTCTAATATTTTCGAAATAAAACAAATATGAATTTTATTATGAAATATTTTCATAATATTTTCTGAAATGATTTACAAATGATATCGGGTATGAACTGTCCAAACGCTCTGATTTATGTTATGACTATTTTTTAAATATTGTTTGATATCTGATTTGGATTGTTAAGCCCATTGTATTTACATTAAGAGTTAGATGTACGATTGGCATGCAATGAGATTGAGTGATTCAGTGTTATTGCATTATAAGTGTGTTCTAGTACATTTGGGTACATTTATTTTGCACTAGTTGTGCGTTCCAGGCTTCATGATGTGTTGACATTGTGAGTTGCTATTATGTGATATCAGCTTTTAATATAGTGATGATGTGTTCTACAGTACCTATATTTATGTGTTACACCAAGGGTGCATTTTGTTGTGGCAGTTACGACTGCATATTGTGCACACACTTATTATGACTTGTGGACCTAGTATTCTCAGTTGTGTACATTGGGCTATCAGTTAAATATTACAAAATATGTAGGAATGATCGATTCATTGAAAGTGGATCTTTCTTTGAATGTTTTTATCTGTGAATTTGTATATGGATATTATGAAATAATATTTTCAGGTTTATGATAAAAGAAAGGAAATTAGTCAGTTTATTATTGTGTTCTTAGGAAGGTCGTGATAGGTAGGAAGTAGATGTATCAGTCCCGTCTTGAGTTGGAATGATGTTTCGTCTTGAGGGAAGGCGATGTAGAGCGGTTGTTGTACTGCTGGAGCTGCGGCTAGTTCGCGAATGTTTGATCGCCCATTGGTTTTGGTAGTTGTATGTCGGGAATTGGATCAACAATAGGTGTGGAAGTTGATTCGGCTATTGCTGGATTTTGCGTGGAATCTGTGGATTCCTCGTATGCGGCATCAATTGAATCTTCAAAATTTTCTGGCTCTTGTCGTTTCTTTCTTTTCTCTCGAAGTGTTCGACCGTGAATTCATATGGCTCACGCTTCAATTTTGGATCAAATTCTTCTAATGTACCTGAATTTTTCCTGATCATAAATCTAAAAACAAGAAAATTAAATCAGTAACTTGTCGTACTTCACGAAAACGACGGTAATTTTGACAGTGTTTCGTTCTGATGTCAAAATAAAATGTTCCTCAATCTCAATAAAAAAATTAATTAAGTAGAATAGTGAGAGTAAGGGTTGATCCAAAGGGACTAGGAGATTGATGATTTACTCATTCTTAATTTTGATTTTGGCGTGATGTGTAAAGGAAAATAAAAGAGAGATTTGAGAGTTGGAATAAAAAGTAAAATAGTAAAGAAAAATAAGAAAGTAAACTAAGTAAATTTAAGTGAAAATTCAATTGGTAAAAACCATCCTTGGGCTAAAGCCTCTGGCTCAATTTAAATCGATCCTTGAATAGGATTTTACCTTAGAGCTCACGTCGGTTACAGTCCACAGGGCCCAACCCCTATAACTTATTTTTATCTTAAATGAATCGAGAATCTAAAATCAATTTTTAGATCTCAACTCTTTGTGAGTTAATCGCGACAATCACTTATTAATTCAACACATTTAAATTCTGGAAAAACTTGACTTGGAGTGTACCGTCTCAAATGAGAATCTAACTCGATTTCAGTTTCCCTTAGCAAACCGCCGCTAAGTGTGTTCACAGGAAGTCGAATGTGCCACAGGACGATTCTTTCTTCCAACTATTAATCGAAACCGAAATTCAATTCCAATGTGCACTTTTTGAAATGAAATCGCTTTGATTGTAAAAGGATTGTCGATTACCAATCCTTGATTCCCAAAAACTGAAAATGTAACCTTTAAGGGTATGAAGTGCTTTTTTATTCTCACGATTTAGAATCGAGTTATTACTTTAGCCTTTAACTATGGAAAACTTAGCTAAGCATGGTAGAAATCAAACTTAGCATTTTAAAAAGAAAATGAAGTAAACTTGAAAAGAAAATAAAACGGAAAAAAGAAAACTTTTATAAAAAAAACTAAAGAAAGAAAGTAACAAAGAGTTCATGAGTAAATGATTCGAAGATCCAATGATGATTTGAGGCTTACCCCAAAGGGGTATTTATAATCCTCAAATACCCTAAAAATTACATTTAAAATGAAAAAGATAATTCCTAAAAAATAAAAATAAAATAAATTCTAATATCAATTCAAAAATACAGTTGAGTCTTTGATCTTCACGCCACTGCTGACCAGACCTTCTAGAAGCTGTTGACTAGAAGTCACATCAGTTAAGTCATGCTCACTAATCCAATCATGAATCCAAAAAACAAAAATTTGCACAATTTCGTCATTTTCAGCAACATTTTTTGAATCTACTGTCCTGCATTGAAAATGAACGAAAAGGGCCAAGTTAGCAACTTAAAATAGCTAATCAAGAAGTAATTAATCACAAAATAATGTATAATTTAAGCACCAATCAGCCATGTGGATAACCTAAGAGAATTAGAACGCATGCGGTTAGAACTTTAACTTTCCTTTGCGTCTTTTGTTTATAGCATCATCTATGAGTTGT